AAACAAGCTGCATAAGGAAATTTTCAGGGTTCTATTGAGAAGCTGTGATCAACGGAGTTCAACCGTATCGGGTGAGGTCATGCATGCAATGCCGTGAATACACTGAATTCGGACATTCGCACCTTGAATGGTTTAGGGATTAAGCGAGATTGAAGATCTTGGCGCATACGCTTTGCTAATGAATCCTACATTGGGGTAAAGCTGCGTTCAGGTTTAAAAATGGTGGTCTAACATTGATCAATCAATGATAAAATCAAAAAAGAGAAAACCAATCAAATAACTTTGAAAATTTTCTAAATTTACCAAGAGTATAAATTTTATGATCTCTGAAAATTATGTTGATTGTGTAATAGATATATCAATGCAGTTGGAATTTGAAAATATTAACGAAGTTTTTGTTTACTGAAAACTGTCAGATTGATAATATTATTATTATCCTAGTAGTAGTAGTAGTGTGGTGCGAGCTACTTATAAGTAGTATATGACGTGAGTGTCAACGTAATGTCTGGCAGCAGAAGATGAGGGAAGATCAAGAAAGGAAGAGTGGGAACACAATGGAATTTGTATGAAATGCATGAATAGTGACAATGGATTGATGTTTTGCAACAGGAACAGTCCAGTTCGATATGATGGACTGATATTTTGCAAATTAACGATTTACGATATGGTTTTCTGATTTTACTGAGTAACTCTGTAATTTTCGTTAAATACAATTCGGTTGCCCTACATGTGTTCTTCTTCACTACAGTGGTAGTATTAGTAGTTGTTGTTGTAGTAGTAGTTAATCAAAGACTATTTCGATTTGATAAAACAAAAGATTATATATATTATGCTCCACTGAAGAAAATATCAAACAGTGCTACCTTTGTATTAATTGTACTATAAAGTCTCAAAAATTCTTAAGTCTAACTCATAAGTAATAGTTCACTGACTGAATTATCAGATGGTATATATCTAATATTCTTGAGTGTAATAGTTCTGCTATATACATGTTAGTATCAAGGCACATAATTTTGTCACTAATCACAAACTATAGAAATATGTCAAATAAATCATCATATAATTGTGGCATTGTACAATAATACTGATAAACAATATTTAACATTTAAAGTATTTCGATGTGAATGATCAAATTATATGCGTTTGAAAATATTCATTTATAAATTTTTATTTGTGATAAAAAATGCACCTTATTCATTCAACAGAAGTTCGTGTGGTTGTTAACTTTAGCGAGTACTTTGTACAAATGTAGTGTAGCTGAGTCACATTACTACTACCTGACAAATTGAAGTGAAATAGTGCAAAGTTAAACAATATTTTAACAGTCAACTACTTTTAACAAATCAAACTATCCCTTTTGATAATATAAAAAAGAATTTAACTCACTATAAATATTTTTTTCATTTCTCTTACTTTTGTTACATCATGAATTCGAGTTCAGTTTTCAAACTAATTCACTGCAACTATTTTAATTCATTTAACACCATATTAGTATAAATTATCACGTTTAAATGAAATCTTTTTATTAAAAATCTATTCAACTATTTTTTTAAATGCATCTTTTTTCTCAAACATTTAAAAGTTTTAACTTATACAGTGATACGAAAACACATGAACAATTAAAATGTGGGTAGATTAAATCAAATTCCAATATTCTTACTCATATGATTTGTTTAAATGAGTTTATATAAAAATAAATTTATTTCTTCAATTGAAATATTCCATTTACTCCTATTATATATATATGATTATAGTGAGCATTCGTAGCTTAAGTGGTTAGGATTTTTATTATTGTTGTTGTTAACAGAACGGCTTATTCTACTAATTACATAACCAAAAAACTATAAAACTCAATGAAATCAATTGCTTCCACTTAACCACTTGATTCTGATCCTTTTTCTTTTTCATTTAAACATTTTTCACAAAATGATAAAATAGAATTTTGAAAGTTTAAATAGGATTTAAATTAGATGGAAGGGAAAGTTGATTTAAACGAAAATTTCCTTATAATATATTTATTTATAATTTCATTTGGGAAATATATTTCGAAGTTAAGTTTCTTTATAGATCTGTAATAATTTAAAATTTACAAGACTGTTAAATTTTCACAAGTGGGATTTTTTCCAGTACCATATACCTGTTACAATCAAACTACATCTTTTATACTTTTTATTTAAGATCAACAATTCCTATCAATCCGGATTTTAGTGTTGCGCATAGGTGAAACTTTTCTAACTTTTTTGTTTTTCTATTCCCAGTAGTTAATTTCATCAAAACCTAAGCAGAAATACCAATGAAAAAAAACTCAAAAGTTCCAATAGTTAGGCAATCCTTTAGAGACATGAATACCTCTGGTGGAATAGACGAGATGTGAAGTACAGAAAAGCTCCATTCTAGTATAAAACAATTACCCAATGCCCTCTAGTTTTCAATGGTAACCCAAATGAATTCAATCCAGGAGAAGTTCAACTTAAAAATTATCCAAGTCTCCATAAAACTCCTCCAACTGATTCAGAATAAGTCGATTGGAAATAAAAATTAATCGGCATTCAGATAATTGAAGATAGTCTCGACTATCATAATCAGTGAGGATTCAAAAAAATTCACAAAATCGTACAACGTTCATCCACTGCTTTTGATTGATAACTGTCTTACATCCAAGACGAACTGAACTCCACCGAAATTCCAGTAGTAACATCTTGAAGGTAGTCGCTTTTGAAAACGTGATTATGATTCAAATAGGAGGAGAATCAATACTGCCGAATCTTGGATCAGTGGTCTAAAGTTAGCTCGTGATATAGAAGCTTCTAGATTCTCACTCTAGGGATTCCTGTGCTACGACCAAACTCCCATCTGATGCTTCCAAGTTAGATGAGATCAGTTTATGGTTTAAATTGAAAAAAAAATCTGCACTCTCCACAAGTCCCTTTTGATCAACTCTTCATGTTTAAGAAATAAGCCGAAAAACTATTCTTATCATTGAATTTGCCTCTTTTACCTTGCATAAATTTAAGTGATTTAAAAAATCTGTATTTTTTAATTATTACTAGAATACCTAAGATAGATAGGAAGTTTGAAATTAAAATCAAGCACACATATCGTATTTTTTCATTTTCAATGGATTCTATTGCCATAATTAACTAATGTGTTTTTAAATATATCATTACTTCATGACACAAATGTTGTGCCTTTAATACTAAATTATGCTGTAATTAAAAAGAAATGTTAACATATTCAAGTGTTCGATGTTTGTCTTTAAATCATGTTTGTTCATCATGAACATTAAACTTAAATACTTTTTTCAAATAATAATAATAACGATTCGTTATTGTACTGTTAGAATTTATAGTGAATTAACAGATTTTGAATTATTTTCATTAAAAAAATATTTTCTAAACATTTAGTAAAATTAACAAATTGAATTATCTCTCTCTAATATTAACATTTTAAAAAAAGCAAACCACTGAATAGAAAGCGTGAAAATTCATGATAACCAAAGCTTCCATTCAAGAGATAACTTTCCTTATATAATTTGAATATGCGTAGATAAATTATAGTTCATTTCAAATATTAAACTGTAGTGTACCACTCGATCAGATAGTCAGTAAAATGGGTTGTTCAATCCACGTTCAGTGACTGGTCATATTTACTTCTGCTAACTATATACTACCTTAAATGTTATCATACAGCATATCATATTTCGCCGCAATATTTTGAAAGTAAACCACAAACTACATAATTAAGGCACTAATAATTGGTTCGAACCCCCCATCACCTAACCTCGATTTAAGAGATTGATCAGTATCGTTAGTCTTCATACAAACAGAGTAGCTTAAAGCCAGCTAAATAAGTTTGTATTTCTAATTCAGAAAAACAGAATGAAATTTTTAGACATAAGGAATTTCAAAACTGATAATTATCATAAACGTAGTGACAACTAATATAGAAGTGTAAATAAAGAATACTTACTTGTTTGATTGGAATAACTACATTAATGATCTAATTGAAAACTTTACTCTCTATTCGATACAAAATCAATAGATTTAATGTTAATGAGTTACGCGTGAAAGCTGACAGATAGTTCCATGATTAATTTCAATTCAAAGTTAAACATGCAAGGGAAATCTTCAAATAGTTGACATCATTTTATGATATTCATGATAGTTATGATTTATTTAGAAATGATTTTATGAAGGTCTGTTTAATGTGAAGATAGTGTTCTTCACAGATTGATCTTAATTAGTGTATCAGTATAAACTAGTAGGCACTGCATAAGTCTTTCGTCCTAGTATGGGACTCTTCAAAAAAGGTACACCGACGACCTCATATAGAAAATTGACTGAAATTGTAATTGTACTATTGTATGATATATTATTGGTTCCAGTAGTTGAATGTTCGCTGTTATAAACGGTTTATATTAGTGCTCATAGTGAGTTCAAAAGCTACATACTACCAATTAAAATTATAACAAATCGTATTTGAAACCATGAATCGATCAAAAAAACTTAACAATCTTCACAACCCCATAATGCAAATTACCTGTGCTCACTAATGACTAGATTCGTCAGGAATCTTATCCGAGTTCTAGTGGGAAGAGGTGACCAGTGTAGTCCAACCTCTTCAGGTGAAGACAGTAACTACCGAACACTGTGTATGAGGTTGCGCAACTCTGTGAACTGATCAAGTTAGACATTAACACCATTAGATAACGGCTCAGTAGTCCGATGGTTAGGCGTTCACGCACAATACCGAAGGTACCGGGTTCGAACCCTGTGAGGTGCAGGAGTCGTGGATGCGCACTGCTGATGAGTCCCATACCAGGACGAAACGGCCGTCCAGTGCTTCCGGGTTTCTAATGGTGGTCTAACACTGATCGATTCATGGTTTCAAAAAAACTTAACAATCTTCACAACCCCATAATGCAGATTGTATTTGAATAAAATTATGGTTAACAAGAAATATATAAATAAGAAGGAAAATTTAATCAATAATTTAATTACCTGTTGATGTTGTTCCATTTGTTTTAATAATAATTGTCGTTTTTTATCTTTACAACGTTTATTTTGAAACCAAACACGTATAACACGTGGACTTAAACTTGTCATTTCCACTAATTGTTCTTTCATTAGAGCATCTGGTCTCGGGTTGGCAGCATAACATGTTCTTAATGTATGTAATTGTTTTTCATTTAATACAGTTCGTACCTATTTTAAGACAAATGATACAATTATGTATGTATTTATGTATACTTTAGAATACATTCCAATTCGAATGCAGTTATCATTAAAGAAACTACATCATTCCTAATACTTGAATTTTATCCATCCAAGTTTTCTGTAAGTTTACACTACTTTACTATTAAAGGTCTCACAAGCAATAATACACAATTGTTAAATATCTTCCCATTTTCAGTAGTTATACAATGAATCTCAGTCAGTTAAAAGAAAGATTTTTGACCAACAAAATAAATAAACTTTCTGAGCATTTAACATTCAATTGCTTACAGTATTTTTAATAAATTTGAATAATTGTTGTGATAAGTAAATGAATCCCAGATGCAAGTTTCATCCTATCTGAGATTTGTCAGCTAGATTTACTTGCTTCCTATAGTTGATGCTTACTCTGAAATCCAAATTTATTTCAATGCAAACACATGATCTACTGATTTACTAAGCTCATCTAGCCACTAGCTTGTGCGATGGGATAAGTGTTTTCTCTTTTGTATTGGCTGTTTGAGTTTTCCTATCAATTGTATAGGAATACAATTGATTAATTTCTGTCTAAAATGTTTGTCATTTACGAATAATACCAATGTAATCTGCATTGTATGCACATATATATATATATATATATATATATATATATATATATCTACAAAAGATTAGTCAGTTTCAGTTCTAGATATCAATGCGAAGATTTAAATAACCAAAATGAATGAATTACTAAATAAATTCTATTTTTTTTACTACATTCATCGATTACATCACATGTTTGTAGTTTCAAGTCAAGTATTTAAATAATAGGTTCAAGTCTAAAGTAGTAAAAAGACATTTATTAATCTAAATAGATAATTTATTATTAAAATATATACATATATAATCTTGGAATTATTTTATGCAAATTGTTTTTTACTTACCCGAGTTGTCTTCTGGTCTTTTGATCGTTTACTTCCACCAGATTTTCCCGATGATGGTCTGGATCCAATACCACTTATACCACAACTACCATTATTCAATCCATTTGTACCACGTGAAATGACAATACTATGAACTACTTCATCACCAAGAACACTAGTAACACTTGTTCCACTACTACTTGTACTCCCTGTAAGACTTCCACTACCACCAATATTCATCAAATGATTCTGATTAAAATTTCCATATAAATTATGATTTAATACAGTATTATTGTTATTACTATTATTATTATTATTCATAGGTAATGAATTGGATCCATTTAATGCAATACCATTTTCAGATAAACCAGTTGTATTCGATTCACTCATACCAAGTAGACTGAAATCTTCATCTTCACGACTTAAATCATCACTGCTATCTGACATTGGACTGTCTGAAATGACGATGACGATGATGATGATGATGAGAAAATAAATGTAAGGAAAAGGAAGGAAAGCATGTTTAAGTTTTCATTCAATAAAACCATTAAAAAATAATGTGTTTAATGAAATGATGATGGTGAGGTGGCGCAAAATCCTTAGATCAATCAGAGTTAGACATTAACACCGTCGGATAGCCATCCAGTGCTTCTAGGTTTCTGATGGTGGTCTAACAAGGATTGATTGACGATTTCAAATGTGTAAAAACACAAAAACCTCCAAAACTCTGCCCGAAAATGATGAATAATTAGATTTGTTCACTTTTGTTTGACCGTACTACTCTTAATAATTTTGTTAGAATGAACGATTCAGACATGAACAGTTTATATCGAATGAGAGTTGATCATCCAACTACCATGTTTCCTGTTATTTGATTTATATCAATTTAAAAAAATGAACTTCCCAGAGGAATCCTGTGACTGTATAAAAATCTTTAGAAAACAAGAATGCAAGCCACTTTTCACTTTTGAGTAATTACAAAATACCCTGTTGATTTTATGAATAAAAGATTTTCTTTTCCTTTCCGTCTTGTACTGATACGAGCTTCTGTGTATGCTTATTAGCTACTAATATTAGCATTACATCGGTACGCATCCTATTTACCGCTGTAGTAAAACAATGTCATCGTAGAGAATCGACAAAAAATTCGTTTAAACGTTGAATATCTATAAAACATAATTGTGACTAATAGATAGCCCAACGAACATTTCGGCTTATTTTTTTATTACTGCCTTAAGAGACATTTTTAACGGGATAGTTCTATCACACATTAAAACCTTCACAAATATAAATTCTCATTCACATTCAATTTAGTCACAATTGTTTTCGGTTACAAGTGGCGTTTTATTTGTAATTTGTTTTGTTATTGAACCTCTTGAATTAATGTTTTGAAGTTAAGTGTTAATCATTTGCTTAGATGTGTACCAGTCATAAATGTAGACTTAGTCACATAGAATAATTTAATTAATGTTATGCAATTTTCGTAAATTTATTTTTCCTTACAAAGAAAAGTATTTCGATTTATGTTTTTTTATTTAATTGAAATTTGAAATTCAAATTCACTTTATTAACACAAAAATAATTAGTACTAACATAAACATGTTATAAAATCATTATTTTTTTTAAATGATCATTATTATCTGCACAATAGTACTGATAACTGTAAAAGTAGTATTTTAAGTAATTATAACAATTATAACATCAATAAATATAAACTTTTTTTATACTGAATAAATCAAGAAAAATTAAAATGCTATTCATTGAAAATCATATTTTTTTGGCGTGTGTTCGTAAAGATATATATATATATAACCTGTTACAACATCTAACATCCTTAATTCAATATTGTTTTATTTAAATTCACTAATCAAGTTAGACATTAACACCGTTAGATACCGGCTCAGTGGTCCGATATTTAGGCGTTCGTGCACAATACCGGAGGTCCTGGGTTCGAATCTTGCGGGGTGTGGGAGTTGTGGATGCACACTGCTGATGAGTCCCATACCAGGACGAAACGGCCGTCCAGTGCTTTCAGGTTTGTAATGGTGGTCTAACATTGATCGATTCATGGTTTCAATAAAACCTAACAATCTTCACAACCCCTTAATACTAATCACACATTTTCATTTGTATAAAACTTTCTAAAAAAAAATTTGACCAAAATAAAAAAAATAACAAAACATTCATCTGTTTTATCAAATATAATTAATCTCATTTCATGCATCTCACAACAACAACCATGTATATATTTTCAACATAATGAATAATGATTTTCTGACGACAAAAAAAATGAAACAACTCAATTTTTCAATTACCTTTTGTAAAAAAAAGACATAATATATATTTATATAAATTTGATTGAATTTTTGACAAGTTGATTTAATTGAGTCCATTAATTCTGTAAATGTATGTTTGTAAGCATGTATGTACGTATGCGTGCGTGTGTGTGCGTGTGTTTGTGTGTGTGTGTGTAGATATGTGTTTGGCAGCAATAGGTATTTTAGCCATATCAAAAATTGTATAAATAATCAAGGGAGAATTAGAAAAAAATGAAATAAAATAAAATAAAATAAATGAGTTCATTCTTATCTAAATTATTTTTACTCATTTAGTTATTATAATTTATTCTATTCAATTTACTATTGATATTTATATTATTCAATATAATTCATCCTGTACTTTGTACAATTCAATCTCAGAATAATATTTAGTTTATGAGTAAATCATATGATTTACAATTTATTAGCATTTATATGTTTGTTTGAGTTTGTTGTTGACAGTTGATTTATAAATCACTCTTATTTCTCTGTAATTATTTTATTCTATCTACATCATTTTCCCTGCATGACCTCATTTAAAAACATTTAAGTAAATATAATGCTGGACTGTGGAAATTGGATTTCATTGAATTTGATAAATTGATCAAAGGACGAAATGGCTACCTAGTGCTCTAAGGTTTTTGATTGTTGTCTAATTTTCCAATGGGATGTAATATAATCCTTTTTGTTTTAGCTATGCATACCGATTTCACATATACATGGACGATAAAACTACACACTTAAACAAAATGAAATCAGCGAAAATCAAATTCTACTCTATAACTGTTTCTTATGAATGTGTAACACATTCATTTTATCTACCTGTATGAGACTGTGATTTATTAATTGAATGTTTTGGTAATTCTCATGAAGTATGAAGGTTTTGAAGTTTCATCTCCAAAGGATTCTTGAAGTAACACGTATAAATAGTTTGAAAGCTGAATAAAACAGAGGCTCTCTGTTTCTCAATGGTTTCGCAAGTATTTGTTAATGAAAATTGTCGTTGAAAGATAGAAATGGTCTAGATCCCTATCTGATCTGACTTAACATGAATTTGATACTACATTTAACTGATAAACTATTGATAAACCGTTGCATTAACTACGGTTAGATATTAACACCGCTAGGTGCCTTCTCGATGGATTCGAGGTTAAGCGTTCGCGCATGAGACCAAAAGGTCCTGGGTTCGATTCCCACGTACAGCGGTCATGAATGTGTATCTTTTTTTAATGAGTCCCATACCAGGATGAAATTGTTGTCCAATGCTTTCGCGTTTCTAATGCTGGCCTCACAATGATTGATTCATGATTTCCATGAAACGCAACAGTCTCCATTATCTTATCATGATAAACTATCATCGTATAATTATCAGAATTTTTTTTGTTTAAAATGTTTGCGATTCATTTTATGTTAACAAATCTGCGAACTTTTATCATTACTAATTACGTTAAGAAATTACATTTATACTTCACTCATGATTTAATTTACCAAATGTCAGTAAAATAATTATTTTATTCAGCATAATGTAATGAGTTGTTTGTTAATTACTATTACTATCAAAAAATATGAGTGAATAAGAATATTATGACTTTTGGTCTCAATGAATCATAATCTATATCAGAATTTAAATATATTTCCGTAAGTGATTAAAGTAACTTACTAATTCATGGATAAAAAGCAATAAACAGCTTAAAACATTAAAAAATCTGAGAATTGAAAGTGAACATTAAGAGATGTACAATATTTTACTAATTTCACTGTAGATTATATCTGTGAGTGTACGAGAAATGGTGAATTTTTTTATATCTATGAAATTCTACTAATTACAATGAAAAAAACAACTCTTTTTCATGCATTTCTAGAGAAAAAAAGGTAACCTTTAGTCAACAAGATCTTGAAGACCAAGTTTTATTCACTAACTAACTGTATCTGTCCAGAAAATGAATAGGTAACATTAGCAATATATATATATATATATATATATATATATATATATGCATTACGGGGTTGTGAAGATTGTTAAGTTACACATTTTTGAAACCATGAATCGATCAATGTTAGACCACCATTAGAAACCTGGAAGCACTGGACGGCCGTTTCGTCCTGGTATGGGACTCATCAGCAGTGCGCATCCACGACTCCTGCACCCCACAACTCAGTAAACTGATCAAGTTAGACATTAACACCATTAGATACCGGCTCAATGGTCTGACGGTTAGGCGTTCGCGCACAATACCGAAGGTCCCGGGTTCGAATCCTGTGAGATACAGTAGTCGTGGATACGCACTGCTGAGGAGTTCCATACCAGGACGAAAAGGCCTTCCAATGCTTCCAGTTTTCTGATGGTGGTCTAAAATTGATCGATTCGTGTTTCCAAAAATATATATGTTTAACAACAAAAATAATCAAAAACAAGCAGTTCTAAAATTATTGATAAAAGTTTAGTTAGAGATTTGAGTTTTCATTCACACTAAATTTAACCAAATGGTGTATTGAATAATTTAGTTTGAGTTATTTCTCCTTCGAAATTCATGCAAATTCATAATGAACAAAATGGATTGAGACATGTATTTGAATATTTTTTAACTTCACTAAATATACATTTATATATTACATAAATAAGTTTTTACGGTTATAGCATATTCTTTATCTGTTTGATTTCGGTGTATTATTTAGACAGCTTAAGGTTTCCAGCACAAAATAATAAGATGTGTTAATAGGACGGTTTATTGAGATGATTTTACTTAAGCAAAAGACATATACAATGATCCATCCGTTTAATAATCATGTAAATGAAACTAATCTTGCATGATTTCCCTCTTATATATATTATTCATATATTTAATAAGTGTATAGAAATATTTATACATTTATGAAATAATCTAAATATGCTTAATACCGTTACTATTGATACTGTCGTTTGTAATATTAAATAGTAGTATAAGACAACTGCTTTTAATGAAAATGGATAAACTTCGCCCACCGCGATATTTTTCTATAGTCCGTACCAATATTATTACTATTACTATTATTATCATTATTATTACTGTTGTTGCCGCTAACGTAAGTATACACACACGCGCTCATTAAAAAAACATTCATATACACTTATACGCATACACATGACGGCGTAGATG